AGATATTGTATGGCTCTTGTGGAGAAATTAGTTATGCCATGAGAATCACTAAAAGATAAAAGCTTAAAACTGTCACACACAAGAGTACAGTGCTTTGCAGTACAGTCCAACTATGGGTAAAGAGTCACACTACTGATGACTATGTGCTTATAAAAATCATGCTGGCGCTAGTCAATACATAAACATGGTGATACTGTAGTTACGTGCTATAGCTACCAAGTACCAAAGTATGAGAAGATCAAAAATGCTCCAATTTGCTCTGAATAAAGAAATTACTATACTATATGTATTTGTCTATGTACATATATATGCACAAAATAAAATTAAAAAGAAGAAAAACATAAGCTTCAATATGCTATAAAACAATTAACCCTTTGAGGGTCGAGAGGTCCTCTCCCAAACTCGTTCTCAGGGTCGAAAAATTTTCAAAAAAAAAAAAACTATTTTTTTCTTAGGAAATGATAGAGAATCTTTTTCCGATCATAATGACACCAAAAGTATGAAATTTGATGGAAAACTTAGGGAATTACGCTCTCGCGAAGTTAGCTGTCTCGAAGTGGGCAATTTCGCCCACTTTGGGCCCTATTTTCACACAATTCCAATGTTGCAGTTCACTAAGATCATAGCTATTTCCCTAGAACTCTATTTGTTCTATCAACTGAGTTCAAGAATCGGCCCATTTACCGATTTCAACTACTCAATAAAGTGGTCAGAAATTGGCAATTTGGGCAATTTCACAAGTTTTACAAGATGCCAATTTCGAAATAGGGTCCAAAATAAACAAGACAGACATTAATGGCACTAAAATAACATTTTATCTGTTCATTAGTCACATCTCTAGGCCCCTCTTACATTACTTTTGCTTTCCATTTTGAATTTTTATTCTCACAGAAAAGAGGTTTTCTGTTATATATACTACTGTATCATTGTAAAAACAGTATAAATGATATCAGTGCACTTGTGAAAGAATATCAGACTCACCAGTTAACATGTATTTTACGCGTGGCTTGATTTTTTACTCTTGAACATCGGCAAAAATCGATCATTTTCACTAATTTGAGCTCAATTTCAAGGTACTTGTCATTGTGAAACCAATCAAAATCATCTCTATTTCTGTAATATATCTTCCATTCTATCAAATGAGACTAAGGAAACGAGAATACAAATATAAATACCACAGGAAAATACACTAGAAAGTCGCTGTTTTAAACCAAAAACACAGTTGAAGTTTTTTTTCTCATTATGCACAGTGTGCTTCAGAATTTTTCTTATACTGCGCACACTAACCACACAGGCCCATTCTTTCATATGTAGGCCTGCCAGCTTTCTTCTACCAGAACTGAAGGTGCTAGAATTTAGGCGTACAAGTACGTGACCGACCCTGACTGCAATGACGTACTTGTACGTGACCGTCCCTCAAAGGGTTAACAAAAAATGTGAAAACAAAGAACATATTGCCATCATATTAGCAATAAATTAACCCTTTCAGGGTCCAAAGGCCGAATTTCAAAGTGTGCACAAGGGTCCAAGAATTTTCAAAAAATAATTTCATTTTTTCTTATGAAATGCTAGAGAATCTTTTTCTGAAGGTAATAAAACAAAAAGTATGAAATTTGATGGAAAATTGACGAAATTATGCTTTCGCGAATTTTGGGGTGTCAGCGATACTAACACATCTGCGATTTTCCCAATTTTGACTCCCATTTTAGGCCAATTACATTATTCCAGTTGACCAAATTCTTAACTATTTCACTAGTATTACTTCTATTCTATCGATTGAGCACAAGAAATTGCCAACTCAACTGTTTTAACTACAAAATAAAGTGATCGGAAATTAGTAATTTGTCCAATTTAATGCAAAGTTCAAAATATTCTAATTTCAAAATAAGGTCCAGAATAAACAATGCAGGCATTCCTGGCACTAAACTAACATCAGTTACATTTTCAGGCTTTATATTGAATTCCATTTCAATTTTTTATTCACATAATGAATCTTTACTCAAACCAAAAAATAAAGATTTACTGTTATGCAATATTGTAATAATTGTATAAATAATATCACCACATTTGTGAATGTGTATCAAACCCACCAGCTGGTGTGAGGTCATTTGTTTACTCTTGAACATCGGCAAAAATTTAACATTTCTGCTTCTTTGAGCTCAGTTTCAAGCGATTTCCATTACTAAAACCAATGAAAATCTCTGTAATATATCTTCTATTCTACCAAATGAGACCAAGAAATCGCAAATACAACTATAAAACACATACGAAAAAACACTGCAAAGTCGCTTTTAATCAAAAATTACGGTCTCAGTTTTTTTTCATTATGCACTGTGTGCTGCAGGATTTGTTTTATGTGGTGCGCACATATCACATAGATGTATTCTCTCATATCTAGGCCCAAATTTACTGCTCATAGCCTATCAGAGTGAGCTGAGCTCATGGCGTAGATCTACGGTTTGGACCCTCAACATATAGCCGTAAATCTATGGCACGGACCATGAAAGGGTTAAAGAGAGACTACAGTATTACCCAGTACTGTAGGTCTGGAACTGGTTTAGCCTACTCTAATAAGCTAATACATACTGGTGCAACTCTGTAACTGTGAATATAACTGTTGCATATTTATTAACAAGTTACTGTAGTATATTGATTAGAAAAACATATTTTAACAAAATTCACCCTTATAACTTTTCCCAATGGACTTCCTATGGAATATCTATGAACTGCATCATATGGTATTTAAAACCAGTAAGCATGAATCACTGCAGCATTGTGTTTGTCATTTTATTTAACATATGTTCATAATAAGCCAAACTATCAGAGCATAAAACAAAATCACTGATTACACTGATGAAAATGCAGCAGAAGGTGAATCATAAAATCCATTCTCAATTAATTGGTAACACTAATACTCTTCAAGGTGTGTCATTCTCCATATTAAACTGTGTGTGTCAGCAATCTTGCACATTGGAGTAAGTGCCAGTCCATACTTAGCTACAGTCTGTGTGAAATACACATGAAAGTTGGTGTCATGGTCAGTATCCAAAGCATCAACAAAAATAAATTAAATTTTGAATGAGTGAATGTTCAAGACACTAAAAATTCTACTTGGATAAAGAACAGAAATGAAGTCCAGTACCTTGAATATATTGAAATCTACTGCAAACAGGAAGGCAATAGATGAAGCTCTACAGTACACTGAACATAAATCTTGTTCAACTATGCAATGAAATGAAATATAAAAAAGTGTACATAACAAGTAGTTCCATCAGCCAGGACATAATTCTAGAATTTCTCTATTGAAGGCCCAGACTAAAATTTCTCAGCCTACAGTAGGGAGCAGCCCTTAACAGCAAACTACCTGCTAAATAAAAAAATCCTGTCAATTACAAGCATCAATTGCAAGCATGAGCAAACACTCTGGCAACATCAAACAAGACACCAAAGCATATTCACAGACTCACAGGCACCCTAAAATATGTGGAGTTGAATTACACTAATGATACAATCTAAATATTGATCAATGTCTAGACTCCTCACTCTTACCTGAAGTGTCACATATGCAAGACTAAACCCAACTTAATTATAATGGCACTGGAAGTACCTAAGTCACTAAAAATCAGGTACCTTTCTAACCTTTATTTAAAAACTAGGTTGGGCCAGGTTGGACTCTCAAAAGATAATTGTGAAACTTTCCATAACTTGGCTGATGGTCTCTTTAAAACCAATGCTATAAAAATGAGGGAACTCCTAAAAGTTTGGAAACTTTGAAGCTCCCAGATGGTTTCTGAAATCATTGCTTTTCTGACATCCAGACTCTGACCAGGCCTCCTAAATTAAAGTACATGTAACAAGTACTACTATATTAGTGAATACTAAATATGAGTAAAAAGTTATAGGATTTATAGTACTTGCCACATTACATTTTCCTAAAACAGAAAGAAAAAGGCCAAGAATCCTGCCAAATTGCAAAATGTTTAATGGCTTCTGTTTTGCACTCACCCTTCATGGGTGATGCCACAAAGGGGCACTTGTGTCAAGAAATTAAATCCATCCTCCCTTTCCCTAGCTCAACCTTGATTGTCTCTCATTCCCCTGGCACTATATGACACCTATGAGTTTAATGCTTCCTCATGATAATAATAATAAAATGTTTCATACTCTTATGAAAGGACAGTTGTACAATACTGTACCTTCTGAAGTGGTTTCTATCTACCAACCTTCTAGACATGCTGGCTCAGTGGCAGAGTGAGCTATCACAATCACAATTTAACAAGAGTGTAAAACTTCAGTTACACAGATCAGAGCAAATGGAACACTATTGCAGTGACTTTACATGATGTCCCATAGCTGAGTTGTTAACACACTCACTGAAGTCTGTAGTTTGATCCTTAAGACACCTGCTGTACATGGTCACCTATCAGTGAAATAGGTACCTGGGTGTTAGCTGACTAGTGTGGGTCACATCCAAGGGACAAAAGTGACCTAATTTGCCCAAAATGCTCTTCATAACAAGGGGGCTTTCTATATAGTATGTCACTTATGTCAGCTAGGTCTGTATACACTGTACATGTACTTGTAGAAATAAAAAAATTATTATTATTATTACTAGCTACAATGATGTCAGGAATGAGGTAAAGCATGGATTGGAAATTTTGATGATCCTTTCATACCCCTGATGGGACCTAATTAAGGTTCACAAGTTCTCAGTGTTTCGTAAACTCACTGACTTAATGCTAGTGCTCATGTCTAGTGGCTGTATACCCATATGAATAATGCACACACAATTACACACATAAAACACAATATATATGAAAGAAAGAAAAAAACTGAGAGTAACTGAGCTGAAGGCAACTACTGTTGCCAACCAAAATGTGCAAGGCTGTTCTATCAGAAAGCAAGATCTTTAAAAGCATATATCTTTATCAGTTCACAAAAATCACAAAGCCATTTCCAAATATTAAAAAAATGCCCCAGAACATAGACTGATCACTTACAATGCCTGTACAGCTGAAAGAGTTGCCAGTTCAAATGCTGAGGCACTACAACCTTCAGTGTGCAGATTACTGTCCTTACTTAAGTGGATGCAACCTGAACACTCAGAGTCAGTGGTTGACCATGAACTCTCACTTAATAAAACATCCTCTACTTTTTCTACATATTTGTGAATGCCGTCAAAGGATGTCTTTTTCCAGCGCGACATACCTTGTTTCAGTTTCTCATTTGTCATTCACCACACAACTGATACTTGTCTACACTCTGTCTTAAAACAATTAAATATACAGGTGAAAAGGCAGAAAAAAAAATACTGACATATGAGATCCAACAGCAGAAAAAGTATACGTATACAGATACAGAATTAAATAAAAATATTAAATTTCTATGAGTAATAAAACTAAAATACATATTAACCCATGGTAATTTATTTAATATTTATATTTCTTCTCCCTAAAATTACAGTTATTCAATAACTAACTATAGTGTAACTGTAATACACAGAATATTAATACACTGTACATGTATCATCACCAGTTAAGCTTACAGAGAATGATCAAAGATCAGAAATCCCATCAATCATTTTATACAGTACCTGCACATGATGAACTAAATTTTTATGGCTTAGTTTGGACTAATCTATACAATATAACAAGTTAATGACAATATGTCAGGTTAAAGTACTCTTTTTGAATTTGCTTTATAAATAATTAATTTAATTTTTCTTTATTTTTTTTTAACATATCAGTCATTTCCCACCGAGGCAGGGTGACCCAAAAACAAAGAAAAAACTTTCATCATCATTCAACACTTTCACCATCATTCATACATAATCACTGTACCTAGCAAAATTTTAACAGCATAAGGACTGTATCTTTCAAAACAAAATGCTGTAATAAAATACATGCATAGATAAAAAATATTTTTTCCAACTGGTCTTTCTAAAGTAAAATTTAGATGATTAACTTGAACAGGTAAAATAGAAAATAAAAAATTTAAGCATTTAACACATTAAACATTTAAGCATTTAACACATTAAACATTCACATTTCATAACTGGGCAGCATTAATTTATGTAATTTTCCTATTTTTACCTCCTAAACCACCCGAATGATTGTAAACATACCATATCTTAAGTTAGTGTACTATTAAATGTTCAGTTAATCCTAAGTTTGTCTAAGATACTCTCCCAGTATGGAAACAATGTATCATGCCAAGAAAATTTGAATTCCATTACTAAATCTACCATTTATAATATTAAATGATTTCCAGTTCCTAACTTTTTTAAACCTAATTACGTATGTACCTAACTGGGAAGGTATCTAATTATAGACCTATTAATTATCTCAAATAAAACCTATATCAAAATAGTGTAAGCATTAGTATTAGTCGTGCCTAGGCACGATAATGGCATTTTTATCATTTCAATCTTGTAACATGTAAACCACTCATTGTAAGCTTTACAAGGAAATAAATGTTTGTATTTGTATTTGTAGCTGTAATTTGCTGCAAGAAAATGTTGCTATATGTTCTTGACGTAGTCTCTGATGACTATTGAATCATACTGGGTGGCTAACCCCTGAAGAATACCAGAGTATATCCTGGGTATACCTGAGTATACCCTGAGCATACATGAGTATACCCTGGGTATACCTGAGTATACCCTGGGTATACCTGAGTATACCCTGGGATACCTGAATATACCCTGGGTTAAAAATCCAAACAAAGTTTTATAGTCCAATAAAGTCAAATATTACAATATACCTCTGACCAGTTTTGAGTTATTTTTACTCTTCAGCCTGACCTGATGCCAACTTTTTCTGTTAACTATTCAACCAGGTTGTTGCTATTAGCAGCCCACTGGTCCACATAACTATCAAAGTCTGGTTGTTCTGGCACATATCAGCAGTAGTAATCCAGTTTCCTCTTAATTTTTTACACTTGTACCATCAATATTATTGACATCTGCTAGTGGTAGATTAATTATATAGCCTTGATCTGTGGATGTTGACAGTGCCTATGACAGCTCTACTTTTCACTATGTCTATTTTACACTTCCTCCCACATCTCTCCCTCTAGCATGTTGTTAAGGTTGTGCCAGTTCAAATATCTTCCGTGTATATATTATGAAGTACTGTACATCTCTCTTTGCTACAAACAGTACATTCTGAGTACTATTTCCATTACTGCATTACTACTGTTAACTGCTGAGCCCACATAGGCTCATAATCCAATTATATGCACCTACAAGATTTTTGACGCTGTGGTTTAACGCTTCCTTTTGATTATAATAATAATAATAATCTGACTCTGTGGTACATAATATACCAATTATATAATCACATCACTGTGGTCCTGTTGTTGCCACTGTAACTAAGACTAAACACTGACAACAGATAATAAAAAATACCTGAAACTATCACCTCTTTTTCTTTTACATGTGTTAGGTTTGCTTGAAGGTCAGCAAATAGCTTTTAACAGTTAAGAAAGACAAGTTTGTTCCAGCTGCTTCAGTCAGTCTGTACCAGCTATGTTTACACGCCTCTGTTGCCTAGCAACCGCACCATCAACATGCTTCTTTTGTTTTATTAATATATATAAAAATATATATAAAATTGTGAAATTTTATGGAGTGAACGTGGCCAGTGTACTTAAATTAGCTATCAGATTAGTTTATTGATCTCCACAGTGAGATCCCCAGTGTATGTTTGTTTTTTTGTTGGTCTGTGAATGGATTAAATAGGTCCACCCCTTTAAGTTTGGCTTGGAAAGGTATAAATAAAATAACCAGGAAAAAGACTGGCAATGTTGCTCATCCCTTTCCTCTTGAAAAAAGCAAATGACCTCATAAATGCTTTGTCCAAAACATCCAGGCATGAAAACCTTCCATCTCACATTAGAAAAAAAATTAGAGAGTGCTTTTGAAGAAATGTTGAAAATGATTAATTTTATGAGCCAAAATATTGATGAGAGTGATTGCCTCTTCACCGAGTATGAATTAGATAATGCATTAACTAAAGGTCGATCAACTGCTCCTGGAGAGGATGGTATAAAGTATTATATTCTCAGAACTCTTAAGGCACGTGCCTGATTATCCTCAGTTGGCACTGTATAATACCAGTTACACTGAGGGAGCTCTTCCTACTTCCTGGATCAATAGTCTCATTGTACCTATCCCTAAGCCCCAACAGCCTGATACAGGTGGCCCGGTGGCCTGGTGGCTAAAGCTCCCGCTTCACATATGGAGGGCCTGGGTTCGATTCCCGGCGGGTGGAAACATTTCGACGTTTCCTTACACCTATGGTCCTGTTCACCTAGCAGCAAATAGGTACCTGGGTGTTAGTCGACTGGTGTGGGTTGCATCCTGGGGGACAAGATTAAGGACCCCAATGGAAATAAGTTAGACAGTCCTCGATGACGCACTGACTTTCTTGGGTTATCCTGGGTGGCTAACCCTCCGGGGTTAAAAATCCGAACGAAATCTTATCTTACATTTTGACCGATCGCCTTAACTAGTTGTCTTTGTAAAATTTTTGAAAGAATGATGCTTAACAGACTATACTACAGAATCAGACACCAACTTTCCCCCTACCTCTATGGGTTCATGACAGGTAAGAGTGTGCAGAACTATATTTGTACATTTCTCAGTGCACACACCTCTACTAGTTTTACCACTTTTCTTAATCTAAAATCTGCATTTGATATCGCAAACAGAACCGTTATACTACATGAATTAGCCAAAATGAATATTGGTGGTAGCTTACTCTGCTGGATAATAGGATACCTGTCAGATAGAGTATCGTCTGTCCTCTACCAAGGCTTCAGAAGTGAGTCGAAAGAAATCTTTAGGTACACCGCAGGGAGGAGTTCTTAGTCCCATGCTATTTAATATTCTGATTAATGCTCTCCTAAATGATCTACCCGTCTCACCTAAACATATTGCTATAAGCTATGCTGATGACATCATGATACATACAACAGGGCATAAGAAGATAAGCACCATTCTTAACGAAGTTCAAGCAATTTGTAATCGACTAGGCCTCATAATATCCTCCTCAAAAACAAAGATATTAACAAGGAAACGACATCCCCCACCCATCTATTTGCAGGGTAAAAACATTAGCTACGTTAAAGCTTACATATATCTTGGTGTAGATGTACCTTTTAACAAATCAACTATGCCACCCCAATGGAAATAAGTCACTCTGTCTGACTTTTTTGGGTTATCCTAGGTTCTCTACACATATGCTGCTATGTATGATAATTCTATGTAACTGTATTTGTGTATACCTGAATAAACTTACTTACTTACTTACTTACTTGCCACAACTAAATAAGAAATGCAAAGCTAGGCTAAATGTTCTCAAAAGCTACAACCCCAACTATGGTGCTAACTGAGAATCGTGAGAAGATGTACATAGCCTATGTTAGGTCCTTAATTGATTATGCTGCTCCCATGTTGATATTAGCTAACGCGACGGTCTGGATTATTATTATTATTATAATCAAAAAGAAGCGCTAAGCCACAAGGACTATACAGAGCGACGGTCTGGAGACTCTCTGACCGCGGGTTCAAATCCCGCCCGTGGTATGGTTTGTTTGCAATCGTGTCATTAAGATTTCGTGAGTCATGTTGACGGCTTTGAGGGGACTTGAGATAGAGTCCGTCACGGCCATGCTAGCGGGAGATTGGTCTGTAAAAACTTGCATTTGTGGACACAGTGGTGCCTATGCTAACCTTCCTATGGTGTAGAAATATACCTAGTTGGACTAATCTTATTGAAGCTAGCTGGCCCACTGGCTAACGCGACGGTCTGAAGTTTTGAGACTGACCGCGGGTTCAAATCCCGCCCGTGGTATGTTTTTTTTTTTTAGCTAGAGAAAGTTCTCTCCGACCCTTGGAGTTAATGCAATATGAAGCTCTCAGAATTATTCTTGGGTGTCCCAAATCTACAAAGGTTCTTAATATGAGGAAGGAGCTTGGTATTTCTAGTATTAGTGATAGGATTGTTGAGATTAACACTGTACTCGGTATTAGAATTGTGAAGGCTTACTCAGCCCTGTAACAACTTCAGACAGTATTACCAAGGCTGGCTCCTCCTCAGGAAAATTAGTGAATAGAAAAAGAAATAATAACAGACAAACATGAACACTTTATTATATAGAAAATATAAAACACTTAAATATGAAATATTAATCCTACATTAAAGAAAATGAAAATGAAAAATGAAAAATATAAATGATAACTGA